ACTCATACTCAAAATGGTATGGCTGAATCTTTTATTAAACGACTTCAGTTAATTGGTCGTCCTTCGCTTATGCGAACAAAATTACATGTTTCTGCCTGGGGTCATGCCATATTACATGCTGTATCATTAGTTCGTATACGACCAACTGCTTATCATAAGTACTCACCATTGTAACTTGTTTTTGGTCAACAACCAAATATCTCTCACATACGAGTTTTTGGTTGTGCTGTATATGTTCTAATTGCACTACCCCAACGCACTAAAATGGGTCCTCAACATAAACTTGGAATTTATGTTGGTTTTGATTCTCCATCTATTATTAGATATCTTGAACCCATGACAGGTGATGTCTTTAAAGCACGATTTGTTGACTGCCATTTTGATGAGACTGTTTTCCCACCATTAGGAGGAGAAAAGGCACAACAGCAACGTGATCTTACTTGGAATGCCCTGAAATTGTCTCACTTTGATCCTCGCACAAATCAATGTGAATGAGAAATTCAGAGGATCATTCACTTGCAAAATATTGCAAATCAATTACCTGATGTATTTACTGATACAAAGAAAGTGATAAAATCTCATATACCAGCTGCAAATATTCTAGCTCGAATTGCTGTCCCTAAGGGACTTTCAGTCAGTAATACAGCAGATGCATTTAAAACACGCCTAAAACATGGCAGACCAATCGGTGCAAAAGATATTGTTCCTCGTAAGAGGAAATTACAAAGAAAAGCTGGTACTCCTAAAGATGCCACAAAAGGAGCAACAGATATTATTGATCAATCTGAGATAATAACTTTTGATAAAGCAGAGGCTCTTGATGCGTCTCAGGTACCTAAAAATGATTAAATGATAAATATTGATGAGGCAAAGGTAACAAATGATGATATAGCCCTTGATGAGGCACATGCCCTTGATGAGGCAAAGGTACCTAAAAATGATGAGATCTCATTAAATTATGAAACGAGATGGAATAGAAATGAAATTGTTGTCGACAACATATTTTCATATCTCGTTGCTCTTGATATTGATAATGAGGATTCGGAATCTCAAAACGTCTAAGAATGTCGTCGAAGAAATGATTGGCCAAAATGGAAAGAAGCGATACAAGCAGAGCTAAATTCATTAGCTAAACGTGAAGTATTTGGACCAGTAGTTCAGATACCTGAGTGTGTTAATCCTGTTCGGTATAAATGGGTATTTGTACAAAAACATAATGAGAAAAATGAAATCATGAGATTCAAAGCTCGACTGGTAGCTCAAGGTTTCTCACAGAGACCTGGTATTGATTATGAGGAAATATACTCCCCTGTGATTGATGCACCCACTTTTAGATTCATAATACATTTGGCAGTCATAGAAAGATTGCATATGTATCTAAAGAGTGTGGTTACAACATATTTATATGGATCATTAGATAATGATATTTATATGAAAATCCTAGAAGGATTTAAAATGCCTGAAACAAAACCACATAGTATGTACTCGATAAAATTACAACAATCTTTATATGGATTGAAGCAATCTGGACGAATGTGGTATAATCGCCTTAGCGGTTACTTACTCAAAGAAGGATATGTGAACAATCATATTTGTCCATGCATTTTTATTAACAAATCAAAATATCGTTTTTGTTATTGTTGCAGTATATGTTGATGATCTCAATCTTATGGGAACATTAGACGAGATCGAAAAGACGGCCACTTATTTAAAGAAAGAATTCGAAATGAAAAATCTCGGAAAAACAAAATTCTGTCTTAGGCTGCAAGTTGAACATTTTTCAAGAGGTATTCTCATCCATCAATCAACATATACAGAATAGATTCTGAAACGCTTTCATATGGATAAAGCCTATCCATTGAGCTCTCCAATGATTGTCCGATCACTTGACATCAAGAAAGATCATTTTCGTCCTCGAGAGGATGATGAAGAACTCCTTGGTCCTGAAGTGCCCTATCTCAGTGCGATTGGTGCTTTTTTATATCTTGCAAATTGCACAAGACCTGACATAATTTTTTCAGTAAATTTATTAGCAAGGTATAGTTCTGCACTAACCCGCAAACATGGAATGGAATCAAACACATATTGCAATATCTTTGTGGCACAACTGATATGGGATTGTTTTATTCAAAGGCGCCAAATTCTCAATTGATTGGATATGCAGATGTCGGCTATCTCTTTGACCCACATAAAGCCTATTCACAAACAGGGTATGTGTTTACCTGTGGCGGCACAGTTATATCATGGCGATCTGTGAACAAACAATGATTGTCACTTCTTCAAATCATTCTGAGATACTCGCAATTCATGAGGCAAACAGGGAATGCATTTGGTTGAGATCAATGATCCAACATATTCGAACAACATGTGGTCTCTCATCAATAAAAGATAGCCCAACAGTATTATATGAAGATAATGCAGCATGCATTGCACAGATGAAGGAAGGGTATATTAAAAGTGACAGGACCAAGCACATCTTACCAAAATTCTTTTATGCACATGAACTCTAGAAAAAGGGTGATATTGATATTCAAAAGATACGTTCATATGAAAATCTAGCAGATTTATTCACTAAAACGCTTCCAACTACAACATTCAAGAAGTTGGTGCATAACATTGGAATACGTCAACTAAAGGATCTTCAGGGTTGAACTAATGAATGAGAGCAATTGATCGAAGAGGTATTGGCATACTGTACTCTTTTTCCTTCGTCCAGGTTTTGTCCCACTGGGTTTTCCTGGCAAGGTTTTAATGAGGCAGTTTTAATCTATGCAATACCATTTTCAGATACACAAGGATACTGTACTCTTTTTCCTTCGCTAGGGTTTTATTCCACTGAGTTTTCCTTAGTAAGGTTTTAACGAGACATATTCTTAGTATAGTATTGTGAACCCCAAAGGGGAGTGTTATGGCTGCGTGTGTTTTGTGCGGGGTCCACACATTGAAAATAGTAGCAAGCTTCTCTAGGAAGCTGCTTGCTGCCCACGATTTGAATGCCTATAAATAGGCATTCTATGTATGAAATGGTTGCGTGGAAAATAAAAAGTCTCTCTCTTTCTGTTATAATTTATCTCCATTCTCTTACTTAACCTTACTCTCTCACTCTATATACATATATTTATTATACTCCACATATAGTTGTGAAAAAGAAAACAACATTAAAAAAATAAAAAAAATTTGTTTTTTTTAACAGGCGTGTTTTTTTGGGACTGAATCAGTGAAGGGACGGTGGTGTGGTGGTTTGATTTGAAAATTATTTTACAATGTTTATTAAATAAAAGTTTTGATTTAATTATCCTAAGCTGGTCACTAATTAAAAAACTAACTTTTGAGTTTCGCAACTTCTTTATGTATTTTTTTTTGTCATTTTAAAGGTCACGAAAAATCAAACAAATTTTTTATTTTAAATTTGGATCACCAAAATCTAATTTTTTGAATAATAATTTAAATTTTAATATAGAAAAAAATGAAAAAAATTATATTTTGGTAACCAAAATTGAAAAACTTTTAATTTCAGGAAAAAAATAAATAGTAACCAATTTTTAAAAAACATCCACATCCTCATTTAGGACATAAAGAATGGTAATAATGTGTAACGGATGCCATTTGAACACCAATCTGTTGAAAAAAAAAAAAAACCAACGGCTGTATCAGACCCTTACTTTTCAAAAGAAAGTCCACGGTTCCAATAATGGCATGTGGGTGTGAGTACGACTGGCACGAAAAGCTCCCATTCGCAACTAAGAAAAAAAAAATACATACACACACAAATAAAATATGAAATAAGAACCCGAATCCGCGCACAAGTGGGAAACCAAATTATATGGAATAAGCCATTGTCAAAAGCAACAACAATTTACAAATATAAACAACCTGCACCAATTTTACGCTCATTGTGAAAAGCAAGAAAACAAAGAACGGCTCAAGGATACCCACATTGTAGCCCCATCAAAATACTGAAAAGGCGAATTCATTGCCTTTCAAGACATCTATACAAATTCATTGCCTTCATCGCAATGCATTATCGGAGTCTTACAAACAAGGCAACGAAAATAGTAAAGATTATTCTCCTCTAGCAAGATGCAAAACAAGGATCAAAACAAGGATCGTAAGCCGAAACGTAAAATAACAAAAGCATCTCACGAATTCATAACTAGTAAATATGAATTCATAACAAAATCATCTCACGAATTCATAACTATGTCATGTGACTAATGTCATCGATCTCATGAATAAAAAGACAAAATGATCATCGTTCTTGGAGAAAAATGCTAAAGGTTAGGACATCCGTAGACATTAATTACACAAAATTAATATATTCAGAACACTAACAAATATAGCATTGCATTTAAGAATATTTTGTGGAGGAATGAGTGATTCTATTTACATTGAAAAAGCCATTCATATGGTTGGTTTAATCAACCACATCTAATATGTGCAGGAACAATGGTGACTCTATTGAATTTAACATGTAATTATGCCATCTTGATTATAGACATCTAATTATGTGGCTTGAGCACAAACAAGTTTAACTTATAATAAAAAAAGAAATTGAAAACCTACCCAAAAAAATAATAATAATAAGAAACAGATGCACAATTTTTCATCAAAATAATCAAAGCAACCCTCCTAGCACAAAGAAATGGTAAAACAGTGTAATCGTCTCTGTCAACTTTTCAATACACAACTAACATAGATTTTCAGCTTAACTTTTCAATACATAACATTCACGTTAACTTTTCAATACATAACATTCACGGAAAAGAAAGAAGGAAAATCAGCATACCAATTACACATCAGTCTCTAGGTATAATGTCCAACTTTTTTCTTTCTAAGTCTGACATCCAAGACACAACATTCATCCATTCATTGGCAGATAAAGAAGAAGAGCGAAATGAAAATCAGCCACATCAACACCATCATCATTTCTTTTTTTTCCACAATGGGGTCAGGAACGTAATGTTGTTGAATTGGCCCGAGTGTTTGGGCTGCTTGTCCTTTCAATCAAAGCTGCTGGGTGGAACCAGACTCTCCACGGACAAAACTGCTGTTGAAAAATAGGGACAATTACAAATTTTCGTAAGTGAATTTTCTGTAGTACTGTACGATGCTAAGCTTGTCTGATCAAAGTAGTGAGGCCTTTGATAAATATTCAGTAGCAGTTCACGGTTCCTCAAGAAACATAACGGTGTCACCTCGGTAAAGGTGCCCCTGTCACATAGGATTGGGATGGTGATAAACTTACTCCAAGACGCCTTCACGCCATATTCCTTCATCAACCACATCTCAACCCCAGTTCGACTAGCCTTCACGCCATACAAACACAAACATTCTTCAAAAGCTCCCAACACCTAGAAATTCAAATCTGTTTTGCTCTGAACATTATCTAGGGACATCTCACTAAATACCTCCTTTGATAAATCAAGAGAAACAAGTACCCGGGGACGTTGTACAGAACCAGCGCCTGCGGGTATCAGTAGCCAATGAAGGGCTCCATTCACGAAAATTCCATAACCACACATTGTGAATGTCCCCAAATGACCGGAACTCAGGTCTTGTATTCTTCTCCAAGAATTGTGTCTAAGACTGAACACATGGAATCTAATACTTTCACAGGAATTGGAAACGTTAGTTCCCAAAACTAGCTTGTAATCATCATCGAAGGAGTCAAAAGCAAACCCATAATGACAATCAATCCAAGATAGTGGAGAAGTCATGGGTGGTTCTGGCAATTCCTTGCAGACTCTAGTGGAAGGGTTGTACAATATAAATTTGAAGGCATCAACAACGTAACATATCAAACCATTGCAAGAACCAAATGCATAGGTTTTATGGCCAACTTGACAACTCCATAGTGGGCAATTTAACTCTACTAGTGCATTATTATCAACATTAATATTCTCGTTCTTGTTGTTACTGTCAAGTAGTGATTCATAGTCTATTGACTGGGGAGTGAAATTAGGGTTGTTGTTGCCAAGGGCAGAGTCTACTGGATTGAGAGGGAGACTATACCAAAAGATTTTCTGGGAATTTTTAGAGTGAATTGATCGATTGAGATGCAATTTGATGAAATGGGGATGAGAAATAAAAGAGCGAGCTGGTTTCGATACGCACCTGAATTGCAGAAGAGATTTAACAGGAAGCCTGGAGAGTATGTCCAATTCGATTTCTTCAGGTAGGTTAAGGACCGCCATTTGCGTACCCAATTCTTCAAGAGTTCAATCCACTAGCTGAGACCACTCGGCACACTCCAACCCACTTGAATCTCTTCGCCGAAAGCAGATCGATCTTCAATCCACTTGAATCTCTTCACCCATTTTGCTCCACGGAGTTCTCAAATCAAAGCTCGACTGAGTCTGTTAGCTTAATTTGAAAGCGAGATGGAGTTGTTCCTTCACATATCAGTATTGAAGAGAGAGAAAGAGAGACGTTTCTGGGTTTAGCTAAATGTCTGAGAAGGTTTGAGAGGAAAATGGAGGTTCCTTCACATATCAGCATAGGGGGGCGAGAGAGAGGAATTTTAGGGTTTCGCGAAATATGAGAGAAGAAAATCTTCTAAAATTTCAGTGTTTATGGTTTTTTTACTTTTATATTTTCATTTATCAATTATTTTTTTTAATTATAAATTTATTTTTAACTACTTGAAAGTCGGGATTTCCAATTCTCTTGGGCCACTTTCGGAATTTTTTTTCGATAATTACCTAATTTATATGGAATTGGAGGATGGTGGTAAATTATTAGATGCTGTGAGAGCCCCAGAACATCATTAACCAGCAGTTCTAATATTTGAAGCGTTTCAAATAGCTTAAATTAATCATTTTTATGCAATTTGCACTAGAAATTATGGTGGGTTGTTGAATATAAATAAGTATCAAATAAGCTATGCTATGGATTTACATATAATAAATTGGTTTAACACGTCAAATGTTGGTTAAAAACTTGACCCTAGGTCTAAGGTTTGAATCTTATTGGATGCAAACAATTCATTGAGGGAGGGAGTGAATATCAACTAGAAAAAAAAAAAATATTGGTTTTGTGATGTTTGGAAGGTCATAGTAGTTTCTAATTTGAAAGATTATAATGATTGTTATTGTAAAATATGTGTTTTTTAAAGTATAACATTGTTTAAATATTTAGAAAAAATCACTTATGTAATGGAGCAAATTGCACAAATAATCCAATTTTGAAAGCTTAGTTAATTGGAGACCAAAAGTATTGATCACTTGTATAGTGGATCAAATTGCACAAAAGATCCAATTTTGAAAGCTTACTTAATTAGAGACCTAAAGAATTAATCACTTGTATGGTGGAGCAAATTGCAAAAATGATTCAATTTTGAAAGCTTGGTTAATTAGAGACCTTAAGTATTTTCTTGAATTCTTGTAATTAAGAAAGGCAATAGTAATCTTTATTACTCTCCAACAATGGTTAATGGACTGTCTTTCTTTTAGGAGAAAAAATTTATTGCTCGAATTGTATTAGTGACATTGTATCATCATAAGATATTGATACATAGTGATAGGATCCACTAAGCTAGGCTTTGTTTTCTTGCTTTTGACATTTATTATGTTTCCTAAAGTTCTTTAAGAAAACTTTTTAAATTATGCCAATATGCGGTAGTTAATTTAAAATTGAATGAAGCATCAACATTTAACATTACGTGGTGCAAGAGAATTGACATATTTACCCTAATGTTGAGATGATGAACAATTTGACATTATTATAGTCTTTGAATTTCAAGGTTAGACAAATTCTACAGCCAGATGCACCCATCTCCATGCAAAAGTATGGCGTGTATAGAGAATTATGCAAGAAAATATGCTACGTAATTTGTAGTAAGTCACATAATTTTTTTGTAACGGGTGTCGCTCACGCTTCGAGCGCGCTCTCGTTCTCGTACTCACTATTTATAATTTAGTTTTTTCTTTTTTGCGCTCCTACTCTCGAATTCGCTCTTGTTCTCGCTCTCTGTATGTAACTTAGATCATACATGCAACAAGACATTGTTTAGTACACTGTTGACATGCTTGGGTCTTAGACTTATAACAGACTCATAAAACCCAAGCATACTAATCTCTCTATATCCAATTACTTGGATAATTGAATGAATAAACCAACCTAGAAGAATATTTGTTATCTTGAATCTAGATGGGTTATTTTAGGGATTATTCATATTATAAGCAAATATAAGTAAAGTATTCCTGAACTAATTTTGTAATTAAAAAGTAAGGTTTGGGTTGTTGAATGTGTATGAGTATTGAATGAAGACATGATGTGTATTTATAGATAATAAATTGATTGGGGTAAAATTATAAAATCTTTTCGTGCTAATTAAATTGTGAAATGACAAAATTAATTTTATTATTTAATGTTAAATTAAAATATTAATAATTATTATTTAAAATTACGAATTTAATCCTGGCCGGTCTATTCCAATTGAAAGTGTTTGCCTTCAACTGGAATGGACTCCACGAAAATTAAATTTGTCCTTAACCTATCATTTAATTTTGGAGAGAGTTCCATATTCTTATAATGTAGTTCCAGTTCAATGAAGAATTCCATATTATTATAATTTCACTGTATAACATAGTTTCGTGATATATGATATCTTAAGAGTTGTTTCACATTTTTGGAAATTATAATTTATCAAGTATTAAAAAGACAAAAAAAGAAAGAAAATAAAAGATGCTTTCATACCTCCTTTTATTCCAATGGTACTAGAAAGTGTTCACTTGTAATTTTGCTTTTTAAATTATGTCAGATGAACATATTTTCAGTTATAAAATTTTAATACTTTTTATATTAATTTAAATGTAATATACATGATTTTATATAATATGAGAAATTGATATAGATTTTCCTATTAGAATAATTAGAAAAAAGGAAGGTTTTTGTAGTATAAAGTAACCAAGTTCTACGGAGTATTTTTTATTTTTAAAATTACAGACTACTAGAGAAGTCCTTCAGAAATATGAAACAATTAACGGCTCTTAGAAGGTCTGGGGTCGGACAAGCCGTTGGAAGAAAAAAAAATCTTAGCTTTAATCCCATTGTACTAAGGCCCTGTTTGGATTGGCTTTTAAAACGCAGCTTTTGGCTTTTTGGACTTGAAAGCTATTTTGAGTAGTGTTTGATTATATTTTTTTGAACAACTTTTCGTCTGGGAAGAGCGTTTTGGAGAAGTTAGGGGATACCAGCTTCTCTAAAACGCTTTTCGAATATGACATGAGAAGCTAAATGGTGTTTTAATGAAACTTTTAAAAATCCAAGTGTACCTTTTTTATTGCCCAGTTAAAAAATAAAATTCTTAACGTATCCCTATATAAGACGGCTTAAACCCTACTTAAGTGTATTTGGAGAGTTACATTGTACTAAGTGTACTTGGAGAGTTTCATATTCTTATTATCTCGGTATATAGAACAATCACTAGGAGTATTTGGAGAGTTCCATCGTACTAAATGTTTTATGATGTCAGAGTTGTTTTTACATTTGTTGAAAGTATAATCTATCAATTACTAAAACTGAAAAATAAAATAGAAGATACTTTCATACGTGAAGCCTACTCAAGTGAGTTGAAATTAGGTTTAGGCCCGTTTGGCATGCGCCTTTGTTTTAAGCGTATTGTTTTTGGCTAAAACAGAAACAGTATTTTTGTTGTAGGAGGGTTTTGAAAAAAAATTAGAAGCACGTTTAGGAATGCCGTGAAAATGTTGAAAACAGAAACATGCAAACGCATGGTTCTGAGCCATGAACTATTGTCAAAACAAGAAAAAACAACTTTTTGGTGTTTTGGTTTTGGGCCATTGTTCACGAAGTGTTTTAGTATTAAAATAAAACAAGGCTGCACCAAACATGATTTTGTTGTCAAAATCGACACTGCAGCAGTCTAAAAACAAAAATAACAGAAACAAAACGCATGCCAAACAAGACCTTAGTGTGTCACAATGAAATAAATTATTGAATTTTACTGGTTTATATATTAGTAAGGAGGTACCAGAAAAGATGCACGGGCAAATTTTTCACTTTAAATTTTGCTTTGTGAATATGATGAACATATTTTCAATTATGAATTTTTATAGTTTTCATATTAATTTAAATATAGTATACATGATTATACAAAGTACTTGAAAAACCCTCTAAAAATATGAAACCATTTTTTGTTTTTTTGGTCAGGCATCACCACAATTTCAAGAATCAACTATGAACAACCTTTATAAAAAATAAAATAAAATAAAAATTGTTCTAGTTAGGCTAGGGCTGGGGTTTGTTCACGTTGGCTAAAAATCAAGATAGGTTTGAATTTTTCGTTTAAGTTGGCTCATTCAAAAGTTGTACCCTTATTACAAAAAGTTAATTTTATCACCTCAATGAAAATATGAAATAAAAAAAAAAAAATTAAAATTTGAGAAATGTTGACCATAAACATGGGTAGCAATGAAATAAGAACTGTGTAACCACTTTTAAAGCACAAAATGATAATAAAGAATGAGAAAATTAATAATAAAAGAAAAAAAATAAGTAGAAAAATAAAAAAGAAGATCTATTCCTATTGACAATTATCCTAATTGAGTTTTACTTTAAATGACTGACAGAAAAACGCTCTCACCTCGCTCTAACCCAATCTTCGTCTTCGTCTTTTTCCTTTTGTTGTTCCCTACTCCCTTTCATGGGAGTGGGGAGATGCTGGTTGCCTCTCACAGCTAAAATAAACTCGGCATGTTTCAATAAATTCGCTCTGTTGGTGTTTTTATTTATTTATTTATTATTATGCCCTTTTTGGTTTTGTTCGGCTAGATCCACTCATGTGTTGGTTTGTTTTCGGCTTACATGGACAAATCTATTTTGTTTTTCTCCGGCTAGATCTCTGATCTAGGTCGGTTTTTAGTTTTTTCACGCCTAAATTGAATTTTTTTTCCTTGATTTGATCTTGTGCGGTGTTTTGTGTGTGAAACGCCTAGTGGCTATAGCTTTGGAGCGGTTGCCATGATGATGACCAGACTTTTGAGTCTTTCCTGTTTGCTGCGTTTTCCCATGGTGATTCCTTTTGTAGAGTTTGGGCTCTCTTTCCTGCACACATCTGGAACATGTTGGTCATTTTTTATCTATACTTCATGATTTGTATGTCATTTCTGACTTAATTTTATGTTTCTGTAGTACCGCTTTGGCTTAACCTTTGTGCCTTTGAATCACACACAAAAAAAAAAAAAAAAAAAAAAAAAAAAAAAAAAAAATTCACATAATACAAAAATACATGAATTTTAATAATAAGTGTAGTTTACGAAATATTAGGATTCATGAATTTCTTAATATTAGAAGTTGTATGCAAGCAGCCAAGCACTTTCAAGAAAATAAATTTACAAGGTTTAAATTTTTTAATCTACTTTTAATAGGTATATAAAGATAAAAAAAGATTCATTTTTATCAAAAGAGAAACATAATTTTCTTATTTAAAAAAAAAAAAGAAGAAAAAACCTATCACCGCCGTTAAAAAATATTTATCTACTTTTGATAGGTATATAATGGAATAAAAAAAGGATTTATTTTTATCAAAAGAGAAACAGAAAATTAAAAAAAAAAAACAGAAGAAATAACCCACACCACTCTATAAAAACCCCCCATTACCATAATCATAATTCATAAACCCTCTCTCGCTCTCTCTCCCCCTCACTTCAAAGTCCCAAACTGAAGGCTCTTTCTCTCTCTCTAGAAATTGATAGGGTCATGGAGAACGATTTCGATTCCGATACTTGTTTAGGGTCCAAACGAAGAATCTCAGAACTCGACTCTGAGATCGAAGGAGGCACTCAACGCATCGTTGATGAGCAACCCTCCGATTTTCTCTCTCTAGAACAACCATCGTCTGCCATCGGTTCTTCAACGAAAGACGACGAAGAATCTCTCCGAAGCAGTTCTGATTTCGCCTCCGAATCTTGCAATGGCCTCCCGAAGAAGGCCAAGTGTTCTTCGTCTGATGAATCTGAGACCTCCGCTGCTGTTCAAGAGAAGCAAGAAACGGTTCATGACGTCTTGGCTTTGGTCTCTGAAGGTGTGAAAGTGAATCAAGAAATCGATGAAGACAATTTGGGTACTGTTAACGATGTCGTTTCGAAGGTCAATGGTCATGAAGGTCGGTTGGTGAATGAAAAAGACAGAGATTTGGGCAAGTGTGAATTGGGTTTTTCTGGTACTCGAGAACTTGATGAAGTCCATAAGAGTTCAAGTTCATCGTCTTGTGTCTTCACAGCCAGTGAAGATCAGATGGACTCTGTTGTTCGGCATTGCAACACAGGTTTGGTCACTTCTTGTACTGCTTTTGATGAAAATGAATCTGAACTGTTCTTGAGAAACAAAGAAAAGCAGTCTTTTGTGAATGAAAAAGACATAGATTTGGCCAGGTCTGAATTGGGTTTTTCTGGAACCCAAGAACTTGATGAAGTCCAGAAGAGTTCAAGTTCAAGATCGTCTTGGGTCTTCACAGCCGTTGAAGATCAGATGGACTTTGTTGTTCATGATAGCAACGAAGGTTTGGTCACTTCTTGTACTGCTTTTGATGAAAATGAATCCGAACTGTTCTTGAGAAACAAAGAACAGTGTTTGGTGAATGAAACAGACAGAGATTTGGCCAGGTCTGAAATGGGTTTTTCTGGAACTCAAGAACTTGATGAAGTCCAGAAGAGTTCTGTTACAAGATCGTCTTGCGTCTTCACAGCCATTGAAGATCAGATGGACTCTGCTGTTGAGAATAGCAACAAAGGTTTGGTCACTTCTTGTACTGCTTTCGACGAAATTGACTTTGAACTGTTCTTGAGAAACAAAGAAAAGCAGTGTTTGGTTGAACCTGAAGTAGAAATCTTGTCTGATGCTAAGAACCATGTTCTAAAGCCTACCGATTCTGAGAGTTCAAGAACAGTCGTGGATGTTACTATGAGGATCAAAGAAGATTTTGAACATTCTTTAAATGAAGAGCCTGGAACTGAGAAAATAGCAGATACTGATGAAAAGGGAAAGAGTTGTCAAGAAACACAGCAAATTGGGCAGAATGAGAAGTTAGCTGGTCTGAACGGAATTGGAGGGGCTCTTAATCGTTCATTGAAGATCGAAGTAATTGATGAAACAGCGGTTATAGAGACTGTTCCTGCTTCTAAGGTTGGACTTGGCTGTGGAAAGGAGAAAAGATTTATGGGTTTGACCAATCATTCTGAGAGGAGTGGAAACAAGAAAAATATGAAGGAAGAAGCTGATGAAAGGAAGGAGAAACGGTCCAGAAGAAAGGGGAAAGCGGGGAAGAAGGCTTCAGGGGCCAATGAAAAGGAAAAGATTTTGACACCGATTGCTGAAGCTCGAATTGCCTGTGAAATTAAGAGTGGCAAAGCCAAGAGAGCTTACTCAAAGAAGCAAATGGAGTCCCTGAGGTTTGTAGATGTAGAAGCTCAACGGAAGAAGTGGATGGAGGTATACTGTGGGCTTGGACCTTCTGTGGCGAGGGAGTATGATTCCCTGGTTGAGTGTAATCATCAGAAGCACATCCACGTGAACTTTGATCCTCGGAGACAATTTGGGAAGAAGGCAGAGGGCTCTGGAATTTGCAGTACGTCTCTTCTTTCTGTAACATGCTTTTTTTAATTTTTTATTCTTTTGACTATTATTGTTTATTATTTTAATCTTAACATAAAATTATCATGCTTGGTACGTTACGGAACATCATAATCTATGGCAGCTATACCAGGCTACCTATATGTTAATTTTGCAAACTTCCTGTTTCTTTTCACGCTATTGTAATCACATTTGAACAACAGATTACGCTTGACTACTACTTTGAATATTTCCGGATGGTGCTGTAGTATTGAAATGAATTGTCGAAGCTAATAGTCTCAGTGGCCAAAGATTAAAATCTAGGGCTGGCAATGTTACTCTTGTTTCATGGCGTTGTGTTAGGATTGCACTTATGCTTGTTTATTGATATGGCGTATTAGGATCAACTTACTGTTTTTAAATACATCTCAAGCCTTCCACATTCAAGGTGGGAAAGCAATTTGTTATTGCATAGGCAGATTATATTGGACTGAAAAATGATATTTTATTTTTTAAGGTATGGCAGAAATGCTTGCAATTTCTACTTCAAACTGTTTAGATCTTCTTTACTGCTCTAAAAGCTCGTGTAAGAAACAAAATTTGGCATGTTGCCATCTTTGTTCTTAAATGCTTGTCAAGATCACATAATTGTACCTAAGAACCCTTCGTTAGTAATGTTTGAAATGTCAGATTCAGATTTAGAAATCTTCCCTATGTTTTGGACTGACATTTGTTTCTCTGATCACCATGCATACTGTAGATTTTTACTATATTTCAACGTGGTTATAAAATTTCATGTCAACAGCTGTAAACATATTCAACTATATTGTCAACATTTCTTGATTCCATTTTTATTATCAATAAGTTATTTGTAAATAAAGGACCTACACTGAATTAGTAATGTGGGTTAACTTTTGTAGTGTGTACTGTGTCGTTTAACTTAATGTTTTAGTTGTCAATGTGGTTATATTACTGTGATGTGGCTCAGAACATCCTTTTCAATGGGCCTTTCTAGGACTGGGAGCCAGGAGATTGCAGATTTTTAACTATTTTGCATTCTGAGACTTTAGAGAGGAGTTTTTTTTTTTTTTTTTTGGGGGGGGGGGGGGGGGGGGGGGGGGGGCTTTATGTTGAAGTTTTCTCTTCTGGGTTCTTTATATGTGGGTTGTCAACTTGTCATCGAACTTTGCGAGAGATATGTGGCAGTGGAAAGCTCCTCCCAGCTTTGCATTTGGATGTGCAGTATTTTCTAGGTAAATACTGACTTTTGATAATCTTACGAAGAGGAAATATATCCCTGTCAATTGGTGTTGCCCGTGTAAACGGACGGAAAATTGTTGGTCACTTGTTGTTGCATTGCCATGGGGCCAGAGAATGGTGCATCATTCTATTTGCTTGGTTGAGGAGTATGCTGGGTAGTTGGAGAGGCTGCGAGATATGGATGAGGGTTAGAGATATGTGTCGGGTGGCACTCTTCTGCCTTTGGTGGGGCATTTGGGCTGAGAGGGATAGTACATTCTATTTACTCTTTCTTTGGGTTACTGGAAACTCTTCCTCTATGTTAGATTCCTTGGTTGAGGGTTTAGGTGAGATGAGAGTGTTGCTATATGCAGTATGTTGTAGACTTCCTTTGTATATGTCTTTGAATAAACAGCAGAAAGAAGAAGAACAACAACAAATCAAGCCTTTTTGAATACTTTTTTTTTAAAAAAAATTTATTCTTTTCTTGAATGATCAGTTGATCAATTTATATTTCTGCTATTCTGCTTTATCTTCTTTCCAAAAATCCATTCTTGATAACAAGGTTTGCTTCCTTTCAGATATTCTTTTGGGCTGTTTCTTGATTTTGTTTATTGTTTCGCCAATTTTTTTGGATATAATCAACGTTTCTGTTATCAACTGATTATTTGAAAATTTAATACAATTTTAACACCCCCCTCCTTCTACTTCATTTTCTTGCTTTCCTGATTTTTAGTCTTCTTCTTCTTCACTTTCGCGGCCATTGTTATAACTTCAATGAGCTTCTTGTGAAGCCTTTCCGAAAGCTCTGTCATTATGGAAATAGACTCATTCATAATTTTGGAAAAATTGAGTCTATATTGTTTCTCAGTGTTTCTTCTCACAATTTCTTCTCTCTTGGATGTTTGGTTCTGATTGTGTCAATTTGATGGGTTCAATTTCTGTGTACACAGGTGCATTTGCTGCAAAGGGAAGAGGGAACTATCTGAAAATCTTTGTGCATTGAAGATTGGCTTAAAGGAATCTGTCAAAGGCATTATGTGCAATATACCCGAAATTTGACCCTTGATTTGTATACTTAGGCGCATCATGGTTCAAGTTTCTGTGTACTACTTGTATACAATCTCTGTACATGCATTTTATTGCTGTTAGTATAGATGCTTTCTGTGATTGCAATTGTAAATGGAAAGTAATTAGTTGATGATACTACAAATGAAACTCTATTAATGAAACTCAATATTAAAATTGTTGTACTTGAATCTGTGGAAATGCTCTTTCTCCTCTATCTACCAACTGCTTGGGCTTCCTGGATGGTGTGTATATTATTATTTAAATATTTATGCTGGACTAGTACTTCAGGTTTTAAGACTGTCCGATTTTCAGGGACTAAATTTGTTGATACCTTTCAGGTGAAGAGTGTTCCCAAAATGGGGATAATGAAATTGAAAACATGAACCCCCGGGATCCTGCTTGTGGTCTTTGCGTGAGTGATTTAGATGGCTGCACTGCTGTAGAGGGAGAGTGTAGTGAAGATGAAAACAGTGATGAAGATTACAGTAGCATTCAGCGACCTGCTTTCTTTGTTACAGGAAAGCCCAATTTTGATTCTGGGCCTCCAGAAGATGGATTTGAGTATCTTAGGCGTGTAAGGTATCATTCTATTTCTTGAAACTTTTTCCTCTTTTATCTTTTTCATTCACTAATGTTTTTTTTCCCTATGAAATTGATTTTGTATTCCCTGCTTAGTTGCTTTCAGTAACTCTGGTATACAGTGTTATTCAAATCTTACATTTCGATCAGGAGATTGATGATGTAGTAACTAAGATTGGAGTAGGGTGGACAAGATGGAGGCAAGTTAGTTATATCCTATGTGTAACAAATGAATATCAAATAAATTAAAAGGAAAAAATAATGTAGGACGATTATTAGGCCAGCTATATTATATGGAGTAGAGTGTTGAAAGTACAATGCATCCATGTAGCGGAAATGAGGATGTTTAAATTGATGATAAGAAGGGATAAGATTGGTAATAAATGAGTGAGGGAAAAAGTAGTAGTGCATATTAATGATAAAATTAGAGTAAGTAAACGTAGGTGCTGTGGTCATATAAAACGTAGGTCTGAAGATGCACCAACTAGAAGAGAAAGGATTGTTTCTCTAGAAGGTAATCAACAAAGAAGCCAATCAAAACTTACAGGGAATGAATTAATTAAAAATGTTATAAAATAAATAAATATTAGAGGAGACATGGTATATAATGGGAAAGAATGGAAAAGGTGAATTCATGTGACCTACCCCATCCATATGGCACAAGGGCAAGGATGATGGTGATGAAATTCAAATTTGTCTTGTTTGAATAAATTTTTAAAATCTAAATGCTGACTTTTCAATTTTCAGTTACCCCCGCGGGCGCCGCCGTCGTTGTTACCTACCCCATCCATATGGCACAAGGGCAAGGATGACGGTGATGAAATCAAAATTTGTCTTGTTTTAATAAATTTTTAAAATCTAAATGCTGACTTTTCAATTTTTAACAACTTTTATTTTATTTTATAGGTTTCAATTGTTATTTCTGTTGTTGGATTTCTGTTCAACACCTTTTCATAGCATTTGGTATCTTGCATTGTTGAAGTTCTCTTCTCTTGTATATCAACCTCATTTTTCTGTTGTATTCACATGCTCACACTTACCTACTGCTCAAAAACCAACTGATTCAGGTCAAAGTTCTATCTCTTAGAAAATTTAGCATTTCATTTGCTCTTCATCAAATAAAGTAATTAAGTGATTCAAAACAACAGCTTTCAAACAACCAACAACATCAAATGAGTAATGAAATAAAGAAGTGGCGACCATTGAGTGCACAAATCCAAGAAAGTTCTTTTATAAGTAGTGGCAGAAACAAGTTACAGTTAGGATGGAAAAGTTGATCCAATTAATTTTGGTTGTACGATGGAGGTAGGGAAGTGGCTCTATTATTTTCTCCTCCAATAGCTATTTACAAATTTGAGTTAAAACATACTATTTTGCCAATGCAGAAATCAGAAATTTGAAGAGTTCTTAAATTTTGTGCGGATGGTAGCAAGTGTGAATAGCCATTGTATGTAAATTTTCCTCTCTATGTTGTCACTGCTATCATCATGTTACTGCCATTAGTATGCTGCATCCATTATAATCTTCCTCTTTCTATCAACGTTGTAACGTTGGTAAAGCCCTATATTGTGTATGTAAGACTTGTTAGTTTGTGCTGTTGTCTCGCATAGATAGAATTAGTTTGGCTATTCCTTCCCATTACTGCAAGCTATGTTATACTTGGTAAAATTTTGGTGTTTGGATATAAGGGGCATTATGGGTTAATGGGATAACCTGAATATGTTTCAATTACCTGAGGGTCATGGGTTCGAAACTGGAAATAGCCTCTCCATGGGGACGTAAGGCTGTGTATATCTGATCCTCCCCAAACCCCGCAATGGTGGGAGTCTCGTGCATTGGGCTAGCCCTTTTTTTTATTTTGAACTTTACCTATGTTAATTTTGATCTTCCCTTTCACTTTATATTACCCTCAATATGGAGCATGTCACTTTTCTTAGCTGGTGCATTTATAGTAATCTTATTTGTACATGCACAAACTATCTTACTCAATTTTCTATCATTTTATCTTGAATGAGTGCCACTTCAACTATCTCAGAGGTGTTCCTTACCTGTCGTGGTGCTCATTTTTCTTCGCATTTTCTCCACCTTGTTTGTTTATATATTGTTTCTTGGCTGCTCAACATTTTGTCATATAAAGTATGACCGATTGACTGGTCTAATAGTTTTTTATTTTTATAACACCTCCCTATCATTCTTAAAGGGATATGCCGATCACAATCAAACCCACCATGCCTTGGTTCTATGATTAACATTTTATCCCATTTATCTTTCATTGTGAAGAATTGAGCCTAAATAACGAAATTGTTCACTTTTTGGTATCCCTTGATCCTTGATCTTCACATCATCTTCATGATTTACTAATTACACCTTTTGCATTCAGTTTTATTCCTATGGGTTTAATGCTGATTCTTATATTCACATCATCTTAAATTCTTTTAATTTTAGAGTTTCCTTCCAAGCTGCCAACTTAGCACTTACTCCTCTAGTTTTAAAATAATATACCTTATGAAATCTCATCCTGAATGTGTCTCATTAGTTTATCCAAAACTCATCATCAGCTGCCTTTATCCCATCTGAACGGGGTTGTCCACATGAATTCTCCTTTTCCATTCTTTTCTTTCATAATTCATTTCATCTATTAGATTTATTTTAAAAAAAATTATTTCTCATTACTTCATTTCATGATAATTATGGTCTTCCTCTCTTTCTCTTACCATCTATCTGATTGTTGAGGTAAGCTTATAGTAATTGAAAATTCACTTGTCTCACCTAGGGATTCTAACTTCTAACTATAGTCACATTCATTATTGTGGCCCTTTTTTTTCTTCCCCCCGGCCCGCCGAAACCCTTCATATTAGATCTCTAGATACTCTATCCCACAAGCTTTTTCCAAAATTTTAAAAACCACATGAAGATCCTTGTTCTCTCTATATCTTTCTACTAGTCTCCTCAATAAATAAATAGCCTTCATCATTGACTTCCCGACATAAATCCAATTCAATTTTCCTACACTCAAGTTTTACATCTCAATTATTATTCAATCATGCTCTCCCAAAGCTTCGTAGTATGAATCATACCACGGTATCTAGTACAACTTTGTATATCCCCTTTCTGTTGAGTTATAGCTACCCAAATACGTTTGTGCCACTCATTAGGCACTCTCTTAGTTGTTAATATCTTATTAAACAAGCCGGTAGTTGGTTTAGGTAAGTATGCCCCACTAGCTGTATTAAACAATTTTGTTAATCATGACACATCATCATCCTGGAAACACTTCCAAATCTCTATAGGATTGCCGTTTGGTCCTAAAACCCGTCCTCATGTAATTTTTTTAATATATATTTTTACCTTCCATTCTTGGATCTTATGAAATAATGTCTTCTATATTCTCCCTAAGGTTATCTGAGTCTGAACTTCTTAAGTGGTTTTCATTCAACAATTTTTTATTTTTATTTTTTATAAGTGTTTTCATTCAACAATTTCTCAAAGTAATTTTTCATCTTTCTTTAATTTCAGCATCATTTACTGTTACTCATGATACATTTCATATGATTAAAATTCTAATTTTTCTCCCCCTTTGTTTAACAAGTTCATATATTCCCCTGATCTTGTGATTCAGAATAGAAATCATCATATGGCTTTATTTAGTTTATCTCATTGTTTTTTTAACTTCCTTTTTAGCTTCTCTGTATTTTTCAAACGTTTATCTATTTCAAGTATTTGTTTACAGCATACCCTTTTTGTTTTTATGATAGTTCGGACCTGTTCATTCCACCATGAAGTAACTTAGATAATGGCCCTTTTTGTTTTTGATGATTTAGAATGGGTGCTTGTTTTCCCTTTCTTTTTTCAAGGACGCCTTTCCCTTTTTCTTTGGATTCCTGAAGGACATCTTTCCCTTTTTCTTTTGATTCTTCAAGGACATCTTACATTAAATTAGTTTCATCTTTTATACTCCATTTGCTTCTTTTAGCATTCTGTTCTTAAATAATTCTACTTTCTCCCATCTTAAATTCCACCATCTAATTCTGAAGTTTATAATATCCTTTTCCATTTTGGTTGTCCTTATATATATATATATATATATATATATATATATATACAAGTATTAGTTTTTATTGTGATGTTAGGCTCTCTCCTAAGATATCCTTACAATCTTTGCATGTTAATCAATCTACCTTTCTAGTTAGAAGAAAAATCTTTTTGACTCATTTTGATGCACTTTAAGCTATTAATTTTTCATCTCTTTTTATTTTTTATTTTATTTTTATATATATATAAATATTCATTCCCAATTATAAAATTATTGTGACCACAGAGTCTAAAGATATAATCCCAGCCTCATTTTTACTTCCAAATCCATGTCCAACATGTACCATCTCATACCCTCTACAATGTTTGCCTACATGACAATTAAAGTCTCCTCACATGTAAAAACTTTCTAATTCGGGTATCATTTAAATTAATTCATCATATGTTCCCAAAATCGCGCTTTAGTGTGTTCATCTAGTTCTTCTTGGGGTGCATAGGCTTTAACGGTTAACTATATTTTCTCCCATACAAGTTTTACTAATATTATCTTGTCATTTATTTAATAACAGTTACAACGTCTTCTTTAAATTCCTACAACAATTATCCATACTCTATTTGTATGTCCATCATTTCCGGTGTAATAAACTTTTTAAATCCTGTGTTCTCCATTTCTCTAGTTTTTTATTTTTATTTTTTTTCCCCTACCCACACAGTTTATTATAGATATGCTATGTTAACATTCCATCTATATATCGTGTCTACCAACTCCTTTTCTTTACCTGTCAATGCTCCTATATTCTAAGTCCCTAGCCTAGTCTTACGATACTGGACTAACTTCTTTATCTGTGCTCGTCCAAAAAAACAGAACTGTTGCCTACTTTTTACACATCCAGACGACGATACCCCTTGCCAATTTTTTGAGTATAGGAAGCTGATGTAACACGTTGGTTAAGGGAAGACCGACCATCATGACCTGAATATGTATATGGCTTTATATACTGACTGCAACTCAGGGTCCTTCTGATGAAGTATCTCTTGATTATAATAGAAACGTTTTTTCTGTGAAGGTTTCTCTTTTGGTCATCCCCACAGGCAAGACTTATGAATTTGAAAATTTACATTTTTGACATTGATAGATATGATTTGAAATTCACCAGCACGTGTGCATGGGCTATTGCCTTTGTCAAGTTTGAAAGAAAGGCCCAGGCTCTTAGTCACACTCACATGTCAAACAGGGATTGTGAAGAGCTTGGTTTGAATAAATATTAGAATTGAAACAGCCTGTTCAGATTATGACATGATCTATTGATGAGCTTATTGACAAACCATTGCTTCAAATCAGCACCAACTTGAGCATAAGCTTTGTATTTAAATTTTATAACTGATTGAGTGACAAAGTCTATATACATAAAGTTGTGGCATGGTGAATGCCAGTCGTTTTGAATTATATTATTTTGATTTGGCTTTCTGATTGTCATTTGTTGTTGCTATAATTGAATTGTTCCGAAATGCCATGAATCCTTGATTTAGTAATGACTCATAAAGTGTTTTAATTTGCATAGGTGGGAAGCTGCACACATTCCCAAGGTGAAGGTTGCCAAGCTTGAAAGAAAGAAATTAGACAAAGAACAGACTGTTTATATGCCCGAAATTCCCGATATTGCAAAATGCCCAGAGCACTTACTGCCACTGAAACAGTGGGAGGATGGATTTCTTGCTGATTTTTCAGAGCTAAGGCTGGTATGTTTTTCTGCATCCACCTTCTATGGTTTTTAAAATTTGTTGAGGGGAAGAAAAAAAAAAGGAACAGATATAATGAACATATATCTATGTGTGCTGAGACCAAACCAATCAAGAGATAAAACTCTTTTCAAATTTTGAAAGAATGATATATTATTCTTAAATTATTTTAGTGTTCTATTTTCTGAGCCTTTTTCCAATGGCATATAATGATATAATGTCCTCTGAAATGAGAAGGTTTTACTGCTTTCCCCATTTATAATACATGAAAAAACTGAAAACCAAGGCTGATACAGGAAATTGGAGTACCAAAATGGTGATCCTTACATGGTGTGATTAGGTCAGTTAAAAATGTAGAATGCTACTTGTTGAAAACGTGTAAGGAAGGACCCTCTCACCCTTAACATGTCTGTACAGATGCATCAAAAGCTGCCGCATATCCTGATCCATGTTTCATCTCACGTATATCATTTTTGTTCAGTTGACCATCGGTATGCAGCATGCGAATGATTAAATGCCAGTAGCTTGGTCCTTTTTTTGTGTTCTTAGAACCTATAGTTTAAATATTTGGATGAAAAGTTGTGTATAAAAACCTTTAAAAAAAGAAAGAAAAAAAAAAAAAAGTTAATTGAGGAAAAGAGTTAACCATAGGAACATTTTGTCATATACATACAAACTTTCTCAACAACATTTTAGTGTGCCGCTGGGGGTAATTGATTATAGTAAAAAGATTAAACAGTGAAACATAAGTATCAGAGTCCTAGTCCCTTGCAAATCACTTAAATATCTGATAACGTGAATTTAATCAGGCTTTTCACACCAATTGATGTGTTTTCTCCATTGTATTAACTGATGATGATAGATCTCATACAAAATTTTATTTATATATTCCTTCTCTATTATAAATAAACCAGAAGAAATAGTCTAAAAGAAGAAACAATCTCAACCAAAGAGTTGAGATCTGCTATAAATTAGTTCAACAGAAACAACGAGAACATGCTGCCGAGAACGTATGATAGAAGACCTCAAATGACAAAATATGAAATTAAGGTGTCTTCCATAAATCATCTTTTTTATCTTCAACATCTTTTCAAGATACAATTTAGGCTGATTTCCATCTTTTCAGAAAGAAATATCTGTTTGCTTTTGCTTTTAAGTTAGAAGTAGGGATTTGCTTACAAGCTGCTGGCACTAAGTTGCTTGCAATCAGGCCGTTGGCCGGAGAGTAAAAAGCTAATCTGGTCGGACAAGACTCAGCTCTTTGTTAGTCAATTGACTTTTCAAATCATAGCCATGTGCTCATTTCCTAGTCACAGGCATAAATATACACATGACAGGTGGTGGAGCAAGGTAGGACCAATCTCGTCTTGCTCGGTTAGAAGCCATCAGCCATCAGCCAAGTATTGCCCTTTATGTTATCTTAAGCATTAAATGATCTGAGTTTTGTCTATGGCTTTTCCTGTACAGGTTCTGTCACGTTACGAGGGTTCTTGCGCTAAAATTTCTGATAAGGTGCAATCATTGTCCATTGTTCATGATGAAGAAAACTCACAGCAGCTTCCTGACAGTATGATTCTTGAAAATTTTGATAATTTAACCAGCGACAGAGTTGACTCCTGTCAAGCTCTTGACTGCTCCGTTCCTGAATGCCTTAGTGACCCTCTATTGCTCTCAAATGCTGATGAAAATGATACCTCCTCCTCTCACACTCCTGAAAATTCCAGTCATAAGTCTATTCCCGATGGATGTTCCAGCAACAGTCCTACCTTGTCTGCGATTCTAAGGATGGACTCGGTAGCTCGAATTTCAATGTTGAGAAGACGCATTAACGCATTAATGACAATGAGCTCTCTGTCAAGGAATGATTGTGCATGGCTATATGCTCTGTGTGCAGCAGTAGACACTCCACTAGATGGAGACACATCTGCAGCCCTTCGTTGTCTACTCAGGAAGTCTGCAAGCTTACGAGCTGAGAAGTCTGAACTGGACGATGAAGTTATAATGCTTAATATTCTGGCAACAATCTCGGGCAGGTACTTTGGGCAGTCAGATAACTGAAGGTTTTCATTGCATCAAATAACTTCAAGGACAATGGACGGATTATTTTGCAGTTTTCCCTGTTATGTTTGTGCCGGAGTGATGAACACGTTCTAGGCTTCAATGTGCAGTCACTCGTGTTTTTGGAAGTGGTTCTGAATGAACATGTTTGATATTGGAACATTTCAGATTGCAAAGAAGTCTACACTCTATAGTATGGTCATGTAAGCAGGTCTCCTCAGAGGCCTTTTATTTACGAAGGTTTTTCTTATAATTTCTAATTAAGTATTACCTGCCTTCCAAGATGTACCTTGATGTGTGGTTTTCTAGGACTATAAAATGTCTGTAATGTACATTACTTCTGGAAGGACCTTTTTGTCATTATCAGGAACGTTTTCATCATACTTTATTTATTTATGGTAATGGTAGTCCAAAAAACATGTTTAGTAAAAAATATTTTTTTGTACAGTGCTGAAACGTTTTTACATGTTTCAGCGCTTTAACAACGGCTGACAAATAATAATATATATATATATATATTTTTAATTTGAAAAACTCTTAATTGACATTTTTAAACAAATCATTCTATTTTTTAAACTTGCAACACTTTTTTACCAAACATGTTTTATGTTTTTGTTTTAAAAAATCTTGTAACAAATGAACAATACTAAAAATGCTTTCGATTACTTGCTTTTGATTACGTGTTTTATTTTGAATTAAAACAAAATGCGAACCAAACATAACTTACAAAACCAAAATATCCAAAATTAAAGCTCATTTGCTTTTATTCTATTTGAGTGAGTAACATTCAATTCAAGGAAAAATAAGCACCACTTTATTGTTGTCAAGAAAAGCTTATATTCTGATTCAATTAACAAGAGGTCACCAAATTTCCATTACCACCATAGTAGTCAAAATGATATTCATACTAGTCCTTACAATTTGAAAATAGGACTAATTTTGTAAATTTTTCAATGAACTTAAAAGGTTAAAACTCTATAAAGAGCAGGGTAATAACTATATTAGCAAACATTGATATATATATATATATGTGTGAATGAAAGAAAAATGTATATATATATATATATATATGTAAGGAAAAATGGAGCTGAAGGAGCAAAAGCCCACATAGAACAAGGAGCAAAAGCCCACACAGAACAAGGAGCAGAAGCCCAAACAGAACAAGGCACGGGCCTATACAAATCCTAATAGCCCAACAAGCCCATTTTGTTGAAATTCTGTTGAGAAGAGTAACGGTAACAAAAATTCAAACAAGCCTCTTTTAGGTTCTTCAGAACAGAGAGTTTCAGAACAGAGAGTTCCATCTGTGATCACACACAATCTCTTTTGCGAATGTGTAAATATCACCAAACTCAAATCCGATTAAATCAACAACAAAACTTTATAAAACAAAAAATATTTATGTAATGATTGATTCTGTTGAGGAGAGTAACGGTAACAAAAATTCAAACAAAAACTCTGTTGAACTCTCTGTTGAGAACCGAGACTTCCATCTGTGATCACACACAATCTCTTTGGTGAATGGGTAATTATCACCAAACTCAAATCCTATTAAATGAACAACAAACTAGATACAACAAAAAAGTATTTTGTAGAAACAACATCTGTGATCACACACAATCTCATTACATAATAAGCATTTGACTATGTGGAAACAATTACATTGAATTATATACATAAGTCAGTAGAACCCTAAATTTACAGATAAGATTTGAAGCCCTAAAGTTGAAGATGAGCAGGAGTGATTCCCACCTTCACGATTGCAAAACAAAGCTCGGAATGGGGCGATCGGAATGCCCAAACTTGGAGAACATCACCTGCGGCAAAGGAATTGGTTTCGGCAACATGATTCCAAGGACTAACCAGCGCGTACACAAAACTTGATTCCATCTCCCACCGCTTCAATTTCATCCTCCATTCATTCAACTCTGGGTCAATCAGCAGGCATTCAATGGCCACCAAATTCCCATCTCTTCTGGTCTCCAAGATGGCCTTCTCGTCTTCTGTCAGAAACTGGTTCCTGACGGAATTGACCGGAATCGACAGCCGACTATTGCCCTTTTTAAGGTCGGTGGCGAACAACCGCTTCTGTATCACCAGAACCATACCGGAACCACCCATGTGTTGGATACGATTCCTCATGCGTGAAGGCAGTGGTGGTGGGTTCAGACCAATTTCTGCTTTCTTGGCATTTTTCTTGGAGTTTTTCTTGGTTTGATGATGATCAGAGCCTGCAAGAGTTTCCATCTTGGGCAGGTTCAGGAAGTGATTTATGGCCGGCTTCTTGAGAGATGGGGATCGTTTCTTCATCGGCCATGGCGGCGGTCGTAGCGAAGAAGAAAAGGAGTTCTCGGCGTGGTACTTGTGGGTTGCAACCTTCACAACTTCACTTAAATAGTCCATAAGAATCCAGTTTTTCTTGGGTTTGCAGTGAATCACATCGTCTAAGCATATCTCAGTACTCTTCATGATTGGTGAATACAAATGGAAACAGAACAAGTGGGACACAATTAGCGAAGAAGACGAAGAGGAGGAGCGTGATTGAGGCGGTACGTTTTTGGAAAGTGGGTTGGGAAGAAGGAAATATATAGATGGAGGCGGCGGCTAGTAACTTGGAAGGAAAGTAAAACAGATATTGTAATCATTGAAAAAAATCTAAAAAGATATGATCAAATATTTGATTACAATTACGAGTTGTGTTAAGAGAGAGAGAGAGAGAGTAGGGAATGTTTGGAAGGGTAATTACGAGTTGTGTTGAAGCTTGGCTTGATGTCTGCAGATTTGGTATATAAGGCGGCCTATGAGACAATGGAGAAGCAATTAAATTTGGGTTATCAAGTATTGTGAAATACAAAGTAAGTTATGTATCCTGGAATGGACTTATTATACATATATCAACTATATATGGATAATCTTGCTGTTTTCTTCAATTTCAGTGATAAATACTCAACTGCCCAAGGAAATTAGCACCACTTTTATTGAACTCAAGCAAGAGCTTTGAATCTGATTCAACTAACAATAAATTGGTGGTCATCAAATATAATATTAGTGTGTGAATTAATCCCATAAAAATTTGGTAAACTTCCAATAAAAGAGCCATTACAACTTCTTGAAACTCCTCCATAAGCTGACTCCATGTCCTTTTACACATTTAACTACTGAATCATACCAAATAATTTAACTCTGTTGACAAAAGTAGTAGCTATTTCCCTTTTTATTTTCTAAGATGTTTCAAAGACTCTTTCATACAAATATATAAAAAAACTTCACAAACTTGATAAGAGAAATATTGATATAACTTCAGGTAAGGCTAGCAGCCTCCGTTCATTGAATCAAGAGGTTGTGAGCGTTTTGTGGGCGTCTCATGATGTAACGAATAATGGCATGAGTTCTTGCTGAGACCACCACCATCATAAACTAATTAATTTTGAAATTAATTTGTTAAACCATAGTTAAAAATAGATCTCAATGGACAACATAAAAGATGCAGTTCTTAGGAATCTTGGTGGAGCTTTATCATGGATGAAATCTATGGCTGAAGCCTCCTACAACTTTTGTGGGAAAAAAAGATAAGTGAAGAAATACAATCTGAATACAGTCTATACTGCAAATAATTTGATATAATCAAACAAGTTCTAATGGAATTTAAGAACTTTATGGGTGCAGCAATGGAAAAGTGTAAAAGGGTCACTTACAAAATAATGAAGGTGTCAACACACCAATTACAAAATACTTAAGCTATTACACAATATAAGAATGGATACACAGCCTTAAGTATACACAATACAAGAAACCCTAGTTTACACTTCTCTGCAATCAATAGGATAGAACTGTCAAATCACAATGCAGCTTCACTTGATGAACAAACTAGGTTTCCAAAGCCTTGTCACAGCCAAATACACTTGCTTGAATGGAGTACACAGTTAGATAAGCAAGGTAACTCAAGAATAGCTCCCAATAGGCTTAAACCCTAAATTTAAGGGTAAAAAGGTCACTTCACAATGCAGCTCCAAGAATGATCTGCAATTGCCTTCCACATCTCTATATAGCTAAGATACACTTTCTTAAGAGATAAACTCAGTGAAACCATCAAGATATAGCAATGTAAGAACACAACAGCCTTATAGTCTTCAAATCCCTAGTTTTAGCCTCTCAAGTGTAACACTGGAATTTCACCTGAACCTGAAGTTAAACCTGGTTTCCACAGCCTTGATAACTCAATACATACTTGCTCAACAGGCTGAAACAGTGGATGGAGCAAGATAAAATAATCTTAGTTCACAATAGGCTTGAAACACATTAAACCCTAGCTTTCAAGGTCTTCAAGCGTAAATCTGTCAAAACACATGAAACATGTGCTAATACAGGTTCTCACAGCTTCACACAATCATTTTACTCTTGCACAGATGTTCTCAATTAACTCAGCAAGTTTGGAACAATGTACCATAAAACTATAACCAAAAATAGCTCTCAGCGGGTTATGTTTTGCAGCTCTGTAAAGCCTCTGATCCGAGGGTATAAAAGTAATTTTGTGATGTCTCAGGCCTAAACAATGCTCTAATAATCTTGAATCATAATTATAAAAATGCTTAGATAATAATTATAATGATTCAAACATGTTATCTCAGGCTTAGTTCACATATCACATAGATTAGGCTTAAAACCCTAGTTTGTGAGGTTTGCTGTACCAGAACTTGAATGGGTCACTTTCTTGGTCAAGTCTCAGCTTGATTAGCTTCAAATAAACAATGTATTCATGCTCTGATTGTGTACATGATGTTCACAGCATGAATTCAACATGTTATAGATATTTCAGTTGTATTTGCACCAGAAAAACACATTATACTGAGGTTAGAGGCTTATAAATCAAATGCAGCTAGGATATGAAGATAAACTTGATTTCTGAAAATGTAAATAGATGAAACAAACTTTCCTCAACCTTCACTTGGCACTAGAAATGAACAAAACCAGAGTTGTCCTTTCAATCCATAATTCTGCACCAGAAAATCAGCTGCAACTGTCCCCTTCTTGATCTTCATATGAAGCACTCATGATAGATGATTTCTGGGATTAATTTTGGTTCTCTAGGTTAATTAAAATCCCAGAAATACTTGAGACCTTTTTCATTCAAGAGGAGCTTACAAGCTTGCTCAGAAATGCTCTCAAGGGCTCACTCATGTATAAAGTGTTCATACTATCAAGCATGTGAACAAGGTTTTGAGTAATGAGAGTGCAATCACTTTTGGGAAATTATGCCAAATGTTCTATGTACATCAAATTTGCCATTTTTTGCATACCCAATGATGTAACCACCACCATTAATTGGCTTTACTTACCATGTTTTTTTTTTTTTTTTAGTCAGTTCAGTAATATATTCCAATAACTTACCTTGGATCAGTTCAGTAAAAAGAGGGTCAAAATTTTCTGCTGAAGAATAGAAGCTTATAGGTAGTGAAATTATCCTTTTTCTATATTTTTTTTAAGGTTAAGGTGTGCAATTAAAATGATTTTTGGCATGAAGAAGGCCTCTCTCTTTAAATCATGAGCCTCCAGCCTTAGTGGTAAGGCCATATATACTCTCAAAATCTCTTTCCATTGGTCAGTGGGCAAATGCAGCTCCTTTCTATATGTTACTCAGAACCTGCGTGCCATTAATTAATTTGCTAATCAAACACTAGGGAATCTTCCTCCACTGCTTACAGCTTGTGTAACAAGAACATGGAGTCACATTGTCATCTCTTCTTCAATTGTCCGTACTCTCTCTTAATCTGGGAATACTTTGCCCAAAAACTGAACTACCATTATTTTTTGTCATGGCCTCACTTGATTGCCGGAATTGGACAGGATTGGAAACTCACTCTTGCAGCCATGGTTTACTGTCCACTTGAAAAGGTTTGGGAATTCAAAACTGCCAGAAGAAATGAAGCACCCCTTAAATTGAACTCAACCAAGAGCTTATGGTTTATTGTATTTGGAAGGAGAGAAATTCGATAATTTTCAGTCATTCTTCCACGGAAGCCACAGATATCATAGCTGATATAGAGGGTTATGTTTATCAGCTCTTGTAAAGCCTCTGATCTGAGGGTATAAAGGTAACTCTATGATGTCTCAGGCCTAAAAAATAATCTAATAATCTTGAATCATCATTGTAACGATTCAAACATAATATCTCAGGCTTAGTTCACATATCACAGAGATTAGGCTTAAAACCCTAGTTTACGAGGTTCACTATACCAGAACTTGAATGGGTCACTTTCTTGGTCAAGTCTCAGCTTGATTAGCTTCAAATCAACAATTTATTCATGCTCAGATGGTGTACATGATGTTCACAGCATGAATTCAACATGTTATACATATTTCAGTTGTATTTGCACCAGAAAAACACATTATAATGAGGTTAAAGACTCGTAAAACAAATACAGCTAGGATATGAAGATAAACTTGATTTCTGAAAATGTATATAGATAAAACAAACTTGCCTCAACCTTTACTCGGCACTAGAAATGAACCAAACCAGAATTACTGATTTGTTGGTTTTTTTTTTAGCAATCTGTTGAAATGGTAGTAGTTTTTTTTCCTTTTTCTTTTTAAAGATGTTTCAAAGTCTATTCAATACAAATATATAAAAAACTTCTTCGACTTTAGGCCTAATAATCCTTTGAAACTTGGCTTGAGTGTCTCTAAGGCCTATATCAAAATGAATAAGCTTTGATCAATTGTTGATACGATTATGCTTTTGGATTTGGATATTAATTATTGGTGTGCGACAAATTAGGTTATGGAAACTGAAATGGACTTATTATTACTTTGAATGGACTATAAATGGATTATCTTGATGTTTTGTTAGGGATGTAAAGGTCTGTTTATGTGATGTTGCGTAGGATTAACAATGTGCCCTCATTTTTCTAATAACCTGCTATCTCTACTGTGATATTTAGTACTTTTCTTCTATTTCAGTAATTAACACTCATCTGAGTCAATTAATAAGAGGCCATCAAATTTTAATTTATAACAAGGACTCACTCAACTCCAATAAGATGAAGTGAACAAGTACTTAATCTGCAACCATTCTTTAACTTTGATGCTTCAAAGTTTTTGTTTTTCTACTTTCTCATGATCATTGCTTCATTTTCCTGCTGCAGAACAAAAGCACTAATTACGGAAATTCTAGCGAAAAACACATAAGAAGAGCTGACTGGTTGATCTTTCTCAGATTTATCCATTGCAGCTGTTAAGTTTTTCAATTGTATAATCAATTCCCACTACATTAAACTTTGTATGGTCCATATTGAGCCAAAAAAGAAAAAGAAAATAAAACAACATAAAATTTAAAGTTTTTGGCAGTTTAGAGAAATCACCATGTTTTGATATGCTGTTCAATTTTGGAATGTGAATCTGACTAATATCAAGTTACTGAAACCTTGTGGCAAGGTTGGAATGCAATGGAATAGGTTATTGTTGAATTCAAA